TCTAGGCCCGAAACGTCAGCCTTCCTGCTCCTATGATGCTGCTTGGCCTGCTGAGTTCATCCAGCTCTACGCCTTGCTGTCTTTAATTCGCTGCAGCTTTGTTATGACTTGACATTGCAAATTCATCTCTGCTTAATTGTTGAAGCTATTACTTCATTTTTTTTACATTCCTGGGTCATGAAAGATTCCTGCTTAATATTAATAACCCATACAAATCACAGAATAGACTACATATTCATTCCTGTATTTACATAAATTATGTATATTATGATTAATTATGAGGTTCATATCTTTAGTAAAGAGATCTGCACTTTTCAAAAACTAAATTTAAGTAGTTCAGCAATGGATATACACAAGATTATTGCAATAAATGTGTATTAGAAATTGTTTTAAAATAATAATTAATACATATTCCTAAAAAAACTCTGTACAATTCTCTTACAAAATCCAACCATAAAAACAAGAAAAAAAAGTGTCTTAGACATTAAAGAATCAAAAACATTTGTAACTCCTGATTTTTTTTAAAATCCAGATGTCTATAAAATATATGTACATTTATGAAAATAAAAAAGTGTATTTATTTGTTATAAGGACAATACCGATTTTGTATCCATACTAGATATTGTGTAATATTTTACCAGGAAGAACAGAACCATTAATTTAACCCTTTGTGTTGAGTGTAATATTTTCTGTGCATTTCTGAAGTGCCATACTGAATGGAAATGCATCACCACAAATTCACTTTTGGACTGTACATAATGTATGTAAACATTTAGCTGTAAATAGTTTGGCTGCTGGAATTTCCACTTCAGAATGGAAATAAGAACATGTTAAAATAAATACTCACAATAAATTACAGCTGTTTTGTTATTGTTGACCTTTTACTGTATTGTTGCTATTTTTCCTATTGCTTTAGATACTAAAGCAGGCTGAAGCTGGATGTGGCCACTGCTAGAGTTGCAACTTTAAGCTTGGTGGTTTCTGAGTGTACAAAATGTCTTTTATGAATTATTTCCAACAATGGAAGACAGAAGAACAAGTCTGATATTTCTTAAGAACTTATCTGTCAGCACACTTACCCCCGAGTCAGAATATTGTTGGTTTGAGCAGTCTGCAAGCCTTAGCATGAGGTCTGGGCCAGGATTTCAGATCTGAACCAAAACCCCTTTCGGGTCGATGTAACAGATCCCATGGCCCCATTTGAAGAAGAACAGGGGAATTGTTGCAGTCCACATTTTCCCCAGAAATCAACAACACAAAAGTGGACTATCTGGTAATTTCACTCATTTGCTGGACTTCACTTTCATTTATTGGTTTCCACACTTCTTTAAAGTTCAGCATTGAGCCATTTGGAAGTCATGAAAGGTACTGTAAAAATGCCAGTTTAAGGCACACTCCAAAAACATTCTGAGGAAGGGTCACTGGACCTGAAACATTAACTCTGATTGTCTACAGAGACACTGCCAGACCTACTGAGATTTTCTAGCAATTTCTATTTTTGTTGCCAGAAAAGTAAAACTGAGCAATAATGATTACGTTCTAATATGTTCATATTAATACTAATATGAATGCACATATTATGTATTAATATCTACATAATATCTTCTAAAAACAGTGGACAGAGCCTCGGGTAATTGTATTATAAAAGAAAGGAGATAGACTGAATAACTGACATACGATGCTTGTGTTCTTACCAAAAACATGCGGCTTTACTAAAGACTCTTTTATGGTGCTTGTCATGGCTTTGTATGACAGTTTTTGCCTTACAGAGAAAGAGGGCAGAGATGGGATGGGTTGGGCTCCAATGAAGTTGATCCTTTAGAGGTATTTGGTCTTGCTCATACACTTGAGCACATTCTTAAGTGGCCCAGCCTATGGTAATAGAGAACTCTGTTTAAGAAGAAGGTGGGGATATAAGAGTTTCAATATCAAAACATTTTGATCAGTTTAGGAGTAAAGAAAGAGCAAGTAAAGCTTTTCAGGTTTAAAGATAATCTAAACATAAATTAGAAAAAGAAGTAATCTTCTAACATAGATATTAAACGCTCATCAATTCACAGTGGAATAAGTTTTACTTCAAATGCAGCTAGGCAGTTCTTTTCCTTTATATTTTATGTATTGAAATCCAGGAGCTGCTCCCAAATAACTACACCTACCACATTTATATAAAGTTCAAAATCCTTTCCAGATATTAATTGTATCAGCAACACAAAATAACTAGCACACAGTTATGTTTAAAAAAAATGTTTAAAAGTTAACATTACAAGCTGATATTTTGTAAGGACAAGTTATTTGATATTATTACAGCAAGTACATTTGTTTCCAAGCATCCTTAAGTATTTTACACCCAACAACATGTGAGTAGGGCCCTTCTCCCTTCTCTCTTAACATGAGACACCAAACCATTAAAGTAATTCCAATGATTAACCTGATGCAGCATCAGTAAACTTTGGCATCAGAAGTTTTATAAACTTATAAAGTTTCTATGCCAGTTGAAGCTGTTGCTCCAACATGGAAGTATAAGTTTTAAAAACATGCAGCTGCAATTGATATTTGTAGGTCAAGTTTTAAACTTTATTAATGCATTTGCACAACCTCAATTATATAGTGAAATTCTAAACATACTATACCTACAGTAAACATATTTCTTATTCGAAGGTGTAATGCTGTGAAGGACAACTACAATATTTTAATATTACAAATTACAGATAACAGATGATGAAGCAACTGATTTTCTGAATGTTATTTCATGTAATGGCTAAAGGTGTGGTTTGCAATTTATATGTATTGAAATCTTCAATTAATCATTGTATTTGTCAATAACAATGCTAAATGTTTTGTGCAATTGAACTTATAATCATTTCATATGATTTATACAAGTAATTGAAATGTTTTATTAAATGATAAAGAACAAAAAAAAACTTTGAGTGACTTAATGTGCCTCCTAAATAGCAATAAGGTCAATAGCCCCCACATTATGAGTAGTGTTTCTGTTGTTCTTTCTTCAATCTATGATACTATATAAGTGTAATTCCAATTCTCACCTGGTTGATTGGAAAACAATATGGAGAAAAAGACACTAAATTAAAGTTCAGCTTTATCAGTTGTCTTTGTGTGTAACATTTTGTGTTTTAGGTCAAGGGTATCAATTACATTTCCTTTGTGGGGCAGTGAATATGTGATTAGCTATTAGATTGGTTTTGTTTTGGGTGACTCCTTTAATCTGAAGGGATCACAATTACCATGTGTCGAAGATTCATGGCAACCCCGTTCCCCCCTCCCACTTGAAGATATGCCAAATTCTTTGAGACTTCTGTGGCAAACCTTTGGGCATTGCCTCTACAGCAATGGGGTTGTTGGAAAATGGCACAGGCTCCCAGAAGCTTCAAATGGAAAGAATACCACTTGCCGTAAGTTAACGGTAGAAATGTGTACGGATTTGCTTCACGACTACCACCACTAGCCAATTCTTGGAAAGAAACTACACATCAGTATAATTCCTGCACATAAATAAAATGATGTATGACAAAATCTAAGCAAAAAAGAAAGTTTCAGTAATTTCACACAAAAGAAATTCATTCTGAAAAAGGTGGACTTAAAATAGGTAGAGTCAGCATTTTAACAGAAGAAGCGGGGCCATTTTCTCAATAGTTATTGAGTTTTTGCTTACACAAAGCCAACACTTGAGGTGAAAAAGGAAATCTGATACTTCTATGACTTGAGAGAAAGTCAGGTGCCATTTTGCTGCAGCTAAAGCACATTAAATGAACACCATTTTCATTGAAAAGTCATCTGAAACCTACCCTTTGCTTACCAAAACTTCAGTGATAATGTCGTGACTCAATTCGCTGACTGAAAGCCAGGAGAAGAGGAAGAAAGCAGCCATTGAATATTTCAATCAGAAAAACCTACGCTCTGCTGACATAACACGGTGTGGAGCTGGAGGAGCACAACGGGCCAGGCAGCATCAGAGGAGCAGGAAAATTGACATTTTGGGCCGGGACCTTCTTCAGAAATGAGGGAGGGAGCTCTGAAATAAACAGAGGAGGGGTGGGGCTGGGGAAGGTAGGTGGGATGATGATAAGTGAGTACAGGTAGTGAATGGTGGAGATTGGTCAGTGAGGTGAGAGGAGCGGATGGGTGGGACAGAAGACGGACAGGTAGTGTCAGGTCAAGGAGGGGGGGGATAAGAGGGAGGGTTGGTCATGGGATGAGGCCAGGTAATTTGTGTGCACCCATGAGCTTTCTAATGATTAATGGAGGGGGTGTGTGGTTTTGTTGTTCCAGGTGGTTAGTCGGGGTGAAATTGGTTTGGGGGTTTAATGGGGATGAAATCGGTCAGTGGGGGATAATGCAAATTATAACAAATCTGCAGCACTTTTCATATAGGCCTGAGTTTGCACAATTGACACAAACTAATTTCACAATTGATGTGTTTGTGCGAATGAGAATTGGAAACTGCAATGTGGGGAATGTTAGGATAGGTCTTTTAGATGAAATTTCAATTTTTCGCACACAAATGTGACATTTTAAAGCCATTTTTGTGGTTTTGTGACAGGAGAGTATTGATCAGACAATGATCAGAACATTGACC